GGAAGCTGGGCTTCAAGGAGAGAAGACTTTATCAGGCTTATATATTTGTCTGCCTGGTTATTATTGTTCTCACAACATATTGCTAAGTTGGCATCTAAAATATAGCATTCTTATAAGACCTAGTGGACTAACTCAGCCACCTAAGTCCAATAAACTAAGCACTGAGGAAAATGAATTTAGGCCTAAATCCTACCCCCTCCTCCAACACCAGGTCAAATGGAATCTCTAATCTTTTCAGTGGAAGTATGTCTCCCTGCTGTGACTTCCAAAGGATGATGAAAGTGCAGTTAAATGCCTGGCTGGCTGGCACGCAGCAAACACTAAGTGAAGGGAAATTATAACGATCACTGTTCTTAATCTGTCTTTCTTATGGCATTTATTAATATTTTCAGCTCATATTTATTCAAACTTTAAACTGTGCCAGTCTCTGAGCAAGTGATGAGAGCTACTTTCCTCCTTGTAGATGTTAGCGGTATATTATTAGGCATAAATATTCATATGTCTCATTTCTTTTACCAAAATGTAAAATTCTTAAGTGCAAGTTCCATGTCCCTCAGCATACATGTGGTACTGCAGGGTAGGGGAAGCTGTTGTAGTTAAATATTCAACATCGCCTACTCTAGTCCCAAAGATACTGCTGGACATCTGGCTTCCCAGGAAGCTGGGCTTCAAGGAGATAAGACTTTGTCAGGCTTATATATTTGTCTGCCTGGTTATTATTGTTTTCACAACATATTGCTAAGTTGGCATATAAAATATAATAGTCTTATAAGACCTAGTGGACTAACTCAGCCACCTAAGTCCAATAAACTAAGCACTGAGGAAAATGAATTTAGGCCTAAATCCTACCCCCTCCTCCAAGACCAGGTCAAATAGAATATGGCAAGTTTTACTTTCAGTCTTGTTCTACTAAACTATATATATATGTTTTGGCTTTTTTTTGAGACAGGGTCTTACTCTGTCACCCAGGCTAGAGTGCAGTGGCATGATCTCAGCTCACTGCAGCCTCTGCTTCCTAGGCTTAAGCTATCCTCCTACCTCAGCCTCCTGAGTAGCTGTGAACACAAGCGAGCACCAGCATACCTGGCTAATTTCTGTATTTTTTGAAGACGCAGGGTTTCGCCCTGTCGCCCAGGCTGGTCTTGAACTCCTGGACTTGAGCAATCTGCCTGCCTCGGCCTCCCAAAGTGCTGGGCTTACAGGTGTGAGCTACCGCGCCAGGCCTATTTATATATGTTTTATCTCCTCATAATAACTCTAAGTTCCTTGAACATTTTTTCAACCCTCTGTTACAGTATTTTGTATTTTATGTTCTTAATAGATGTTTTTTGAATAAGCGAATGAATGTTCCTATCAAAATCTTTTCTCCTCTGCATGCATTGATTCAGCCATTCCAGAAATGAATAACAAATAGAACTATTATAGTATACAGGGTGATTTCTATATCACCATCATTTTGTTTTCAGGAATACAATTACTTGATAAAATGGCTGGAAAATAAGATCTCTGCCCATTGGTTAAATACATTATTCTAACTGGAGAAGAGAAAGTTAAAAGGCAGTTGAATAATTATCTTAGATTTTAAAATATCAGACAGAGAAGAATGTTAAAGGGCTTCGATGCCTGCACCCTCATTTGCTGGGAACAAAAGGAGATTTGCCTGATGACACAGTGAAGCCATATCCAGGACACAGACCTCCCACCCGGGGCCAAGCATGGTCTTCTCTAAAATGCTGCCATCTGCAGGGAAGCTGTCCTCCATGGTTTACACAGAAGGAATTCCGCAAATGTTTAATACATATTTCTAGGCTATTCCTGGAAACACAAACAACCTTTGCCCATTTTGCATATTGGCCTTAAGTTCCTTTCAAAAAATTTGCATATTTACATATTCTTGAGAGGAACCACCCCACAGATAATAATGGGAAAAATGAAAAGATAATGCAACTGGCACATTTGATAGCATCCTTGGCTTCACCCCTTACCCCACACAGCTTGTTACTGACGATAACTGTGATTTCTGTTCCTGAATAACATAGGTGTGCCAGGAGGCAAGGCTGTTATAGTGTCACATTCCTACCTTTGTTTTTCTGGCCGAGTAAATACAAACTCCCCAGTACTAATCTGTGGACTTTTTAAGTGGATGATTCTGATAGAATCACTATTTATACTTCTTAAGGGTATAGTGAGTTCAGGTGATCTGTCCAATAAGTATCAGAAGAGCCAGACCATCGGGGAGCTGCTGGGAGAAGTGGAAAATGTCACTAAAGATCAGCCCATCAGAAACCTCAAGGAAAATGGAGGTCAAACAGCTCATCCCACTCCTTGCAAGGAAAGCTTCTTAAAATCAGCAAGAGCCAGAGTCTGCTCTTTTGTCTACAGCAGAAGAAATGCTCTTAAATTTGACCCCCAGAGATATGTGAACAGCAAGTATGAATTATGTTAACATATTCCATTACTTTCACAATTTGAACTGAGATTAAAGAATCAGTGCCCAGAAGCAAGAAGGGCTAATTTTCTTCAGCAGAGAATGAATTCAGAGCATGGGTTCTCACCCCTAGCTGCACGTTAGAATCACCTGGAAAGCTTTAAAAAACTACAGATGCCTGGGTCCTACCCCAGACATTCTGGCTTAATTGGTCTAGGGGTGTCCTGGGCCTGAGGCCAGGCTTGAGCAAATCAGAAGTTTAGATGCTGATGTGTTTGAGCATCAGTGATGCTTTCTGCATGCTGACTACTGAAAGCAATAGTCTAGCTCTGTCATTCTTCAAAGGTGGTCCCATGGTTAGCCCTGTAAACATCACCTGGAAACTTGTTAGAACTACGAATTCTAGGGCCCCACTCCAGATCTACTGAATTAGAATTTCTAGGGTTGCGTATCAGCTTATTAAAGCCCTCCAGGTCATTCTGATGAACATGAAAGTTTGAGAACCACTTATCTAAGTCAAGTCATTGTTGCTCAAAGTATGTTCCACAGAGCAGCAACATCTGTATCTCCTGGTGCTTGTTTGAAATGCAGAGTCTCGAGCCACCCCCACACCTACTAAGTCAGACTCTGCATTTTAGCAATATTCCCGGGTATCTGTATGTGCATTAAAATTTGAGAAGCACTGGTCTAAGAAACACAGGCCAGTTAGTGTCTCAATGGACTTCAGTTTTAATCTTTCAGAGGTTTTATGTAAAAAAAAAAAAAAAAAAAAAAGAGCACAGCCAGAGCATAGAAGGGAAGCTGTGAATCCATATTCTGCTACTTCTGCAGGGGGGGGTTAATGTGCGATCTGTCAAATAGGTCAATCATTGACTCAAAGAAACCTTAAGAGTAGGTAGAGTTGTTGTGGCAGTAGTAAAAGCAGCTGCTGTTTATTATATGGTTACTATGTGCTTTATAGGTATACTTGCATTTAATCCTCATAGAAAACCAGCAAAATATTCATTCATTCAATAAATATCCTATTACATAAGCACATATGTGAGATACAGTTCTAGGCATATCCCTATATTCTAGCGATGTAGCCACCCCTGCCATTATGAAGCTTAAGTCCAAAGTCAGACAACAAACAAAAATAAATAAGGTGATATACAAGAAAATCATAGGTAAAGATGAATGCTGTGAAGGAAATAAAGTGGGGGAAAGGAAGGAAATGAAGAGTGGTAAGGAAGTGCTACTTGAGATCAGGTAGTGAAGCAGGGGAGCCTCTTTGAGGAGGTGACATTTGAGCCGAGACACGAAAGAAGCAAAGTCATGAGCCATGCAGATGTTTAAGGGAAGAGCATTAAGGAGTATGCAGAGTTGACATAATGTGAGTGAATGAATGGTTAGAGAGAAGTTTGGAAGATCACTGCAGGCCAGTTCATAAGTTATCATATAAGCTACAGTAAGTATTGACAGACAAGGAAACCGAGCAGGGCTTCTCAAATTTAGGGTGCCTGTGGGTCACTGGGGAACGTGTTAAACTGTAATATGGAGTCACTAAGTCTGGGGTGGGATGTGAGTTTCTGCATTTCCAACAAACTCCAAAGAGATGCTGATGCTACTGCTCTGTAGGCCACAGAGTAAACAAAGGGATGCAGCGGCTGAGAACTTACTAAACAGCATGCTCAATGTCACACAGCTGGTAAGTCACAGAGGCAAGATTTGAATCACAGATGCCTGATCCCAAAGTTTGTGCTGTCCATTAGTTGCCTCTGAGATAACCTCATGCCTGATCCACCTGTAACCAGTTCTGTGCAGGATATTTAAAGAGCCTGGCTGAGAAAGGTCCTGGCATGTGCTCTGTTTATAGAAGAGCCATTTATCCCCTCTTATTTTCAAGGAGAAACAACAAAGGAAATTGGATGCTTTGGTAACTATTGATACTTTGTGCTATTGTTTATGCAATGTTTAAAAAATGTAAGGTGTAATCAATCCCTGATATCTTAGAGAGGAATGATATTGTTGGTGACCATCTTGGGGTACAATATATAAATAAGCATAAAAATACCCTTGAGTCTCGAAATCTAATGCATTATATTTGTAGTATCTAATCCAAGGAAGCCAGTTATTCACCAAGTCCTGCAGTCACACCCCTGCCCTGACCCATTTGTACCCATGCGTTTAGTTCTTTTCACCACATAGAAGATGCCTGGAGTTCCCAGATGTGGATGGGCTTTGGGGTGTCAGAGATACATGCAGTGGGTTACTTGCTGAAATCAATGAGGCCTCAATACGAAACAAAACAAAAGGTGGGGGGGTGTGTGGAGTTTGAACACTTGGTCTCAACTTTCCTTCATGAAAGCAGTCATAGCTCCCGATATTAAACAGATGTTTGCAGGAGAGGATGGCTCCTCGCTTTCTCTTGTTGTTTGATAGTCACTGGGGGTGGAGGAGATGGAGGGGGGACATGTTCTGTGTATGTATTGTATATGCTCTTGCCTTGATGAATGACATAGTTTGGTTTGGTTTGTTGCCCTCCCCTTTTGTTAATTCTCTGTGTTCTTTTTCCTTTGTGCTGCACAATTAGGACCCTGCAGTGGGACACAGACCCCTCAGTGCTCCAGCTGCAGTCAGACTCAGAACTTGGGTATATGTCTGCTCTTTTGTTACTCCTTTTATTATTTCTTTGCTACAGTTGCGTTGAAATGCTGGAGCTGTTGTTACTCTTGTGTTCTCCCCTTTTGTTGAACTTCTAGTTTGATAAGTTCATTTCCTTCTGTTAGTTTTCCTTAAAAAGCTTTGAAGAAAGTGTCTCTTTGTGGAAAACACCACAAAAAGATGGCTTTTGCTTTCTCCTTATTAATTCCTATTATTGCAAAACAACACTCCCCCAAACACAAATCAAACATAAACCCACACATCTACTTAAAAGTGGGGCACACAAGTTCTGCAATGGGAGATGTTTGACTTTATCATAACCATCCTGCCCTTTACTAACAAGTTGCCTTAGGTTAACTTTTGTCTAAGATCAGTATTAAAATACTGTGTCTTGTTTGTTTACTTTTCTTTTCAGTTTTTGGGGAACTCACAATAAGCACTTAATTTGAATTAACTTTGAACAGTTAAAGATTCCTGTTTAAAAAAAAAACAAGGAAATTAATTGAATACCTTGATCTAAAGATATTTCAAATACTTGACGTTGAGTAATGTCTCCTATGTCCTAAATATCATTTTTTTCAGATGGAAATTTATTATCACAAGTTAAAAGAAAACTTCAGAGATGAAGACTTAGAGTTGAATAAAACACACAAACATATCCTAGAAACTCAGTTTATTTCCATTGTAGGATTGGAGTTAGCCGTAGTCACACATGAGATATTTCTAGTGGGGTGCTTGTATCAGCTGGTCATCAAGCTCAGGAGAGCTGATTGTGCATTTCTCTTCTGAGCTTCGCATTCAGTTAAATCAGCTGGAAATCAACCATGGTGGAAGTATTTACACCACAGAAATTGCCTCCTTTCCTACAAGCAGTTTATTAAGCATTTACTGACAGAGCACTGGATATCTGTAAGTGAATAGCAAGTTTCATAACCACATTTTATGGAACCATTATCTTTTCTTTCTGAATATAAACTGACATATCCCAAACCAGGCATTTATTTACTTATTATTCATTTTGAATTCCTGAGATTCCTGGGCATATATCTCTGAGGTGTTATCAGTTTCAATGCCTACTGTAGGTATAAAAAGAGGTTGAAGGGCTATTTGCATGTTAGGTTAAATGCCATCTGCCTGTGATCCTTTGTATATACAAAAATTCTTAGCTGATTCATGACAATACTAAGCCAAGGAAATATCCTAACATTTAGGTAACCGATGCACTATTTCTTTTTTAACCTTACTAAATTCTTGGCTATTTAGTTGTATAGTTCATTTATGTTATATTTCAATTTGTATTGTTTAAATAACCAAGAGATATGGCTTAAATAAAGCAGAGAATATACAGTAAGTTATAGTTCAGGGGAACTTCAGAATGCAGTTCTTCAGAATTACATTGTGTTTTAAAAAAAAAAAAAAAAGGCGGGGGAGAGAACTGGCAGAGACTACCCCATGCACTTAAATTAACAGACTTTTAGACAGATTGCAGCAGTGTTAAATTACACTTGCTGATGTGGAATAGTTTGGAATTTTCCCATTTATATCTGTTTTCCAAGCAAAAACTCACTGTTGACTATGCAAATTAAAACTTGTGACTTACTCTAGGGAGATAGCCTATCTGTGGCCCCACCTGGCCTGCTGCATTATACTTCAGAGTGAACCCAGTGCGTCGGAGAGAGAAGACAGGAGACTTTCTGTTCACTTTCTAAATACAAACCGATGTATCCCAAACTAGGCATTTATTTATTTATTATTCATTTTGAATTCCTGAGATTCCTGGGCATATATCTCTGAGGTTCTATCAATTTCAATGCCTATTGTAGGTATAAAAGGATGTTGAAGGAGTATTTGCATGTTAGGTTAAATGCCATCTGCCTGTGAATGAGTGGCTTATCTTAGAGAGTTTGAAGGCATTTTCAGAGAATATTTGAGAGATGGCATTATTTTAGCCACGTTACAATTTCAAATATTGCCTTAATAAAAATTTCTAGATTTTTCTGGAGAGTTTTATTTCACCTTCTTGAGTTGTGGCATGGGAATGACCATAGTCCATAGCTTGCTCTGTCACTTAATTTAACGCCTTTACTGAAGTATAACTGACTTTAAATAAACTACACATATTTAAACTATTCAAATTCATGGTTTTGACATGTATACACATCCATGAAATTATCACCGCAATCAAGATAGTGAACACATTAGTCATCCCCAAGAGTTTCCTCATGCCCCTTTGTAATCTAAACTCTTGCTTCTTCCTGTTCTTCTCTATCCCCCAAACATCTGATCTGCTTTCTGTCACTATACCTTAGTTTGCATTTCCTAGATTGTCATATAAATGAAATCATCCAGGAGGTACTCCTTTGACTGACTTCCTTCATTCAGAAGGATTATTTTGAGATTCATTCAGGTTAAGTGTATATAAACAGCTCAATCCTTTTTATTTCATTGTATGGATATACCACAGTTTGTTTATCCAGTCATTTTTTACATACATTGGGTTGTTTACAATTTTTGCCCATTACAAATAGAACTGCTATAAACATTCATGTACAAATATTTTAATGCACATATGCTTTCATTTCTTTTGGGTAAATACTTCCCAGTAGAGGTATTTATGGTTGAATCATATAGTAGATATACATTTAACTTTTTAAGAAATTGTCAAACTGTTTTCAAAGTGGTTTTACCATTATACATTCCCACCAGCAGTTTATGAGAGCCTCGATTTTTCCACATTCTTGACAACACTTAGTTTGTGCTTTTTAAAAGAAATTATTAATTTGTTAACTATTATTAAAGGAGTATAGTGGTATTTCATTGCGGTTTTAATTTGCATTTTCCTAATGACTAATAATGTTGAGTATCTCTTTAGTTGCTTATTTGCCATATGAGTATCCTCTCTGATGAAATGTCTGCTTAAATCTGTTAGTCTTATATATTGTTTTTGAGTTGGGTTATTTTCTCATAATTGATTTTGAAAGTTCTTCCTGTGTTCTGGATAAAATGCTTTATGGGGTTTATAATTTGTTAATATTTTCTCTCAGTCTGTGACCTGTCATTTTCATTTTCTTAACAGTGTCTTTAAGAAAGCAAACCAGCAAACCATTTTAATTTTGACTAATTACAATTTACAAATTTGTTCTTTTATGGATCATGCTTTTGTTAACATAATTTTGATTTTTAAGTGATTATTTTAATATTTGGTAGAATACAATTCACCTGTGAAATTATTTGGGTTTGGAATATTATTGTGGAGGAGGGTTTTTGTTTTGTTTTATTTTGAGACAGAGTCTCACTCTGTCACCTAGTCTGGAGTGCAGTGGTATGATCTTGGCTCACTGCAACCTTCCAGGCCAGAGACAGATACCTCTTTGAGATACTAATTTTATTTCCTTTAGGTATATATATATATCCAGAAGAGGGACTGTTAGATAATATGTAGCTCTAGTTTTAGTTTTTTGAGGAACTTCCATATTATTTTCCATAATGGCAATACCAATTTACAATCTTATCAACAGCGTACTAGGTTGTTTTCTCAATATCCTTGCCAATACTTCGTATTTTTTCTTTTTAGTAATAGGGATCATGATTATATCTCATTATAGTTTTGATTTGCATTTCTCTGATAATTAGTGATGTTGAACACTGTTTCATATACATATTGGTCATCTTATGTCTTCTTTGGAGATAAGTCTTATTTAGGGCCTCTGTCCATTTTTATATCAGGTAATTTGTAATTTTGCTATTGAGTTGTTTCAGTTCTTTATATATGTTGGGTATTAACCCCTTATCAGTAATATGGAATAAAATATCTCCCATTCTGTACATTGCCTTATCATTGTAGTGGTTGTTTTCTTATTGTGCAGAAGCTTTTTAGCTTGCTGTAGTGTGCTTGTCTACTTTTGCCTTTGTTGCCTGTGCCTTTAGTGTCATATCTAAAAAATCATTGCCAAGGCCAATGTCAAAAATCTCATTTCTTACATTTTCTTTTAGGAGTTGTATAGTTGCAGGTCTTACATTTATATCTTTTATCCATTTTGAGTTGTGTGTGTGTGTGTGTGTGTGTGTGTGTGTGTGTGTGATGTAAAATAAAGATCCAATTTCATTCTTTCAAATATGGATATTTAGTATTCCCAACACTGTGAATTGAAGAGACTATCATTTCTCCATTTTGTATTCTTGTCACTGTTGTGGAAAATTAGTTGACTGTGGATGTGTGGGTTAATTTCTGGAATCTCCATTCTGTCTCACTGACCTATATGCCTGTTTTGGTTACAGTTCCATACTGTTTTGATTAATATAGCTTTGTAGTATAATTTGAAATCAAGAAGTGTGATACCTCTTGAGAATACCTTTCTCAAGATTGCTTTGGTTATTCAAGGTCTTTTGGGGTTCCATATGAATTTTAAGATTTTTTTTCTATTTCTGTGAAAAGTATTTGAATTTTGGTAAAAAATTGCATTGAATCTGTTGACTGCTCTAGGAAGCATGGACATTTTAATAATATCATTTTTTTAAATTCATGAACATACAATATCTTTACATTTACCTGTGTCTTCAATTTTTTCATAAATGCTTTATAGTTCTTTTATGTAGAGATCTTTCACATTCTTGGTTAAATCTAAGTATTTTATTCTTTCTGGTGCTATTATGAGTGGAAATGCTTTCTTGATTTCTTTTTCAGATAGTTCATTGTTGGTGTAGAGAAACACTATTAATTTTTGCATTAATTTTTGTAGAGTCCATAAAGTTTTCTACATACAAGCTCATGTCATTACAAAAAAAAAAAAACATTTTACTTCTTTCTTATTTGGATGACTTGTATTTCTTTTTCTGTCTAATTTATCTGGCTAAGACTTCCAATATTACGTTGATAGAAGCTTTGTTTCCTTTCTCTTTTTCTTTTTATTTTTTGAGACAGAGTCTTGCTCTATCACCCAGGCTGGAATGCAGTGGTATGATCTTGGCTCACTGCAACCTCCACCTCCC